TACGCCACACTTCCGGACAGAAGGTGGAGCAACCAGGACCTCCTACTTCTACTTTCGAGCAGTAGGGGGGAGGAGCAGTAGGGCGGTGCCCTTGCCTTACAGTCACCATTTTAGGACGCTGTTTTTCTGATACTTTTAATGAATGTTTTTCCATGAGCTCAATAATCTCTTCCTCCTCTTCCTCTCTGATTCTGAATCCTCTCCTGGTTCTTTTAACTCCTTCCTCAACCTTCCTAGAGAAGGATAGACTCACTTCTTATCCCCTTTCGGTTTCTCCTTTATTCTCTCACTTTCTGACTGTTCTGATCTTTCTTCTTGGAGCATTTCAAGGGCAGCCTGCCCATTTGCTATAGCTTTCTTATTTCCACCTTTGTCCTCTAGACAGCTGGCACCAGACGCCAAACTGGGCGAACACTCGGCTTCAACGTTCCTTGCTCCCAGGCAAAATCCAGGTCTTTCCCTAATTTATCCCAACTATCCACCATGAGATTGCCCGAGGCAGCGAACCAGGGTGCAATGGTGTCGCATTCATTCAGGAACCTCTGTAACGTGGCTTTAGTTAACCTTAAATTTTTAGAATGAAGCAGCTCTTGAAGAGCCAGAAAAATTGGATGTGATTGTGACGATCCCATTGTGCTTTTGTCTTAGTTACTTGCGCTCCGAAGGTGTGCAAGTCGGGTAACACCACCAGAAAACAAAAGCCCACACTGCGATGTTAAAAGCAGCCAAATCACCATTATAATAGCGGGGTCCATTCACTACTCTCACTCTGCAAGTTAAAGCAGAAGCGAGGTTTTTTACTTTTGGTTCGCTTTTGTCGCGAACAGTGTTGCTCCTTTCTGGAGACTTTACTGCCTCTTTCCCGAGGGCTTTGGTGCTCCTTTACCAGCGACCTATCTCCTCTTTCCCGAGGACCTTGGTGCTCCTTTACCAGAGACCTATCTCCGCATTCACCGCGGACTTTACAGTTCCACTTACCTTGGGAACTTACTGGCGCTGCCCTGACTGTGAGAAGTTCTGAAGTCCCTGTATGGGCCACCACTTGCGGCGTCCACCCTTGACCAGCAAGAACAACGCCACACCGAGGAATCTTCTTCAACACAGTTTAATCGGGAACCTCTTTGCTTTTACAGTGTATAATGGTGGCAGCCCCGGGTCGAGGGAGACGGGGCCTGATATAGCCTACATCTACCAATCACCTAACCCTACGTGGTGCGCCA